GGGAGACAATGTACCGTAAGAGCTGGGACGTAGAGGAGTTTATTGGTCAATACGCCCAAGTCAGACTTGTAGATGAGAGTTCTGGTGGTTGGGGTCACATCAACTTTGATGACCTTAAAGGAGATATCATTTGTCCTCACTATTAAAAGGAGAGAAACTGAAGAGAAAGCGGATTTAAAAACTAACTTATCAAGTCAAGTCACCTTGAAAGTATGGTGAAACAGCTTTTGACGTAGCGTAGTATTTTCTTTGTGCTATCGGAGATGGGCACAATCACTGTGTTTTTTTTTCTTTTTTCGAAATCCGAATTTGAAACAGTTTTATACACGTGACTGAGAAGGCCTTATCATATAATATAATCGTAAGGTCGGTTTAATGCGACGATGAGGACAGTCGATTGCTTTAGATGGTAGCAATCGCATTATATATACTTTTCTTAATATTTGCTTTACAAAATCCATATCTGTAAAAACTGCTTAGTAGATTCTTTTCGGGATTAGATATTAAAGTCATTTTTGAGTAACAGCTTCCAAAACAGGTTCCAGAATAGTGGAATATTGATCTTTTATTTGACTCTTGCAGTGCTTAATCTTTAGTTATTATACAGATGGACTTTAAAATTTATTAACACATATTATTTAGCTTAACAAACGTTCTCGCGCACAGAGATATCCAATAATTTTCTTTTGATATAAATATCATTTTACGTTGCGGACAAAATAGTTTGGTTTTAACCCTAAAATACCACATTTAACTACCGCCAAACCCAAGGTCGTCTACAGAAAATAAAATGTTTCCAAGGCTTCTTCAACTAAGCAAACACAAACACTTGACTGATTATAAATTCCACAAATTCACTTTCGGTTTTAAAGCAAATGAAGTGATGAAGCCAGAGCGCTTCCCTATAAAATCTTACAGTAACTAGTGAATCGTATTGATGTAAGAAGTTAGCTGTAGCAGGCTGAAGATTTTTTGCGTAACTGTTGACGTTTTTGTAGAAGTAAGAAGTTTGGAAAGGTTTTTGATAATTCTTCTTTGCTCGAAAAGTCACTTTGAATTGAAAGTGTATATGTTTACACGAATAAAGGCAGTCGTTCACCTCCAATGAAATATAAAGCGCCAAAAAAATATTTTTAAGCTTTGTTTAATCTCTTGGTGCTTGATAAAGGGGAGATGAAATAACGTTACTTTGTTTGGAAAATTTTAATGTAGCCTCGTTAATGCTTATAATAAGTGAATGAAGCACTCGATTCGAAAAGCCATAGTGATGGGCTTGCAAAAGGAAGACAGTTGCAATAAATACGAACAAAACGTTTTTGCTCAAATTTCTTTGGTTTACCAGCACAAGCAGGTTGGGAAAGAAAGATTGCTATCACCCTTTCTGTGACTCGATCTCCCAGGCGAAATGCCAATTATTAGACATCCTTAGAAGTAAACAGCGTACTCGCTTATTCATGTATTTATGTGTGTTTATCTGGGTGTAATCAGGCGCTAATTCAAAGTAAACTTTATTATTTCCTCGAAAATGGTCATAATTGTGGGAATTATGACCATTTAGTATAGTGGTACATGAGCAAAACGAACAATTTTAGAGGTCTGTTGACCATTTTTCCTTGAGCTCAAATTATGTATTTCTTATTTGTGATCTGAATTCCACCGTTTCTTAAAGTAGCTCTATATTTAGATTTATACGTGTGCACACCACCTGAATGAAAATACTTTAAATAAGTCAAAACAAAAGAAAACCGTTAGACTCGTAAGTGAGAAGAGCTGTTGTTGGGGTCACATCAACTTTGATGACCTTAAAGGAGATATCATTTGTCCTCACGATTTAGACAAGAAAAACAGAAGACAGAGCGGCTTGGGTAAGTAGCTTACCACCTCAAGTCAGGTTTTCCACAAATAGTTACTTTGAAAGTATGGTTAAACAGCTTTTGACCAAGTATAGTACTTGCTTTGTGTTAGCAAAGATACGCACAGTCACTGTGTCAGACTCGTTGATGAAATTTGTTATTGTAGTATGTTATGTAGTATGTAACCGCCTCCCAGTTAGCTCAATGGATAGAGCGCTGGACTGTTGGGCGGGAGGTCGAGGGTTCGAGCCCCGGCCGGACCAACACTCAAGGTCTTAAAACAGACTCGTTGATGAATTTTGTTATTGCAATATGTTATGTAGTATGTAACCGCCTCCCAGTTAGCTCAATGGATGGAGAGCTGGACTGTTGTGCGGGAGGTCTAGGGTTCGAGCCCGGCAGGACCAACACTCAAGCTCTTAAAACAAGACTCGTTGATGAATTTTGCTATTGTAGTATGTTGTGTAGTATGTAACCGCCTTCCAGTTAGCTCAATGGATAGAGCGCTGGACTTTTGTGCGGGAGGTCGAAGGTTCGAGCCCCGGCTGGAACAACACTCAAGGTCTTAAAACAAGTGAGAAGAATGAGCTACCTTTCTACAACGTAAAGAAATGGTTAGATATTCTGGTCTTCTCGGATAGGGACGAATAAATGGAGATCCCGTCTCCTGCAGGGTAAGGGGTAGGAGACGTTAATTTCCCACACAGAGATCACTGTGTGATGGCTGTCCTCCCCTGGGGTGGTTGCTGGGTGGGAGCCGGCCCTGAAAAGCCCCCATGGTGAGTGGTCAATTAATATAGGTATGTATGTATGTTATAAGAGGTTCTTTCATATTAGAATATAGATTCTCCCTCATTGTTCTTAACCTCGGAACTTCATCAGGTAATTTCTCCAAAGATTTGTAGAACTAGTGGAGGTTCTTACAATTATCGGTTTATTGCGGTTGGAGATCTCCTCTTTGTAAGAAAAATACTTAAGCTTAAAGTTGGAAAATTCTAAAAACTACTTTTGTAAATTTTCAAAGGGATGAGTGCCTAGCACTAGCTAGTTAGATCAAACGAAAAGTGATTATGAAAATGACTGGCGTGGGTAAAACAAGCCTTTTACAAATGTGGTGGAGGAGAACGATAAAGAACAAATGTTTTTTAGTCTACAGAGGGAGAAACGAACTCATGATTTGTAGAATGAAGTAAATCTGATTAGAGCGCCTCTAAAAACTTACATAGAAAACTTTATCCCATCTCATAGACCACTTTCATGAATGGCGCCTGCCGGATTAAAATTCTTTTGTTTACATATAAATTTGCCTGGGTGGCCTCGTTCTCCAGTACAAAATTCAAAAGAATACATTATCTCAAGCGAGGCCACTAGGGCAAATTGAAATTTAAACAAAAGAATATTAATCCGGCAGCCATTTATGAAAGTGGTCTATTGTTTGCCTCCTTGTCAGAGTCACATATATATCACTGATATATTAGGAATTATTGGCCATATATTACTTGTACTTCCTAAGTTGCGCAAGCAATATACATATACTTAATTCATTTTCGTAACAGCGGCAACTCTGTAAAACTCTTATACCCTTCAATGGAGGAAATACATGATTAAATAAAAATTGAAACATTTTTAACAGAATTTCACCTGCTCCACAAGTAGCTTTATTTTGAGGGGTAT